AGTCTCCTAATCAATTTTTTTTCATTGTTTTTTCTTTTTTTTCTTAAAAAAAAAAATTACAAAAAAAAATACCAACAAAAACCCCCAAAAAACCTCTGTGGATCTTCCATTGCACTCCTACTATCCCCAAAAGGGAAAGGGGTGCTTAGAGTCTAGTTCTTAAACAATTTTTTCATCTCCTAATGTTTTCTTCAATGTTGTTTAAAATTTTTAAAAAAGAAAGAAAAAAAAAACCCTTTCCCCCAATCTGTAAAGTGCCTCGTGGTGGGTGAGTTAAGGTGCATCGTGTGGTTTGTAACAAGTGCTGGGGACCCTGCCCCTGCTTCCTCCTATGCTCCTCGTGGGGAGCCTGCAGGCTGGGGACCCAGAGGTCCAAGCTGCTGCCGCTGCCCTCGGCCTATAACCTGGGGCGCTGGTGGGACGGGCTGGTCAGTAGTCATCCACGCTCTCGATCTCACCAGAAGGTCCATGCAGGGAGTACCCTGAAGCCAGGGGAAGCTGGGTTTGAGCTCTCCCACCCAGCTCCTGCCAGGCACTGAGGGAGGACCATTCTTCCCAGCTCCACCCCCAAACTCACCCAAGATGCTGGGGTCCGAGTGCAGCATCAGTGCCCGCCTCTTGGCCTTGCTGCCCTCCCCAGGGCCGAGTTTGGTGCTGTGGTTGGTCTGAAAGGCCGTCTGCAGGGAGCTGCTGCTCAGCCAAGCCTCCTGCAAGGCAGCAGAGAGAGCGGGCAAGTCAGGAGGGCACTGGGAGCCCTCACCCCCTCTGGCCAGGGCTCTGAAACCTCACCTGCTGCTGCTGCTGCCGTTGCTGGCTGGCCTTCTGCTTGGCCCTCCGCTCCAGGAATTGTTTGGCAAATTCTTTGGCTTCCAGCGTGTCCCCCAGGCAGGAACGGATATAGTCGTGGACATCGTAGGGGGATTCCACCTCCTTGAGGATTGCTACAGCCATGGGAACTGCGGGACAGGAGGCAGCTGTCAGGACCCACCGGACGCAGGTCTGCAACCCCTGGCCCGGCCTCCCAGGGAGCACTGCCTTACCGTCCAGGCTGCCTGTGGTACTCAGCGTGTGCAGCATCTGCTCACACCACTGGGTGAAGCCATCCTGGGGCCGAGGGATGCCCTGCAGCAGCTTCAACAGCTTCTCTTCCTCCTCTGTCTTTTTGCGCACAGGCCGACCTGACAGGTGACTGTACGAGTCACTGAGTGGGATGAGGGTGAATGAGAGGCAAGAAATTAACTCAGGTGTCCTGTATCCTTCCCCCCTGGGCCGTGGCCCGGGCCCTGCTGGCCCTGGCACCCACCTGAGAGAGGGGCTGCTGCGGCTATTCTTCAGGCCCAGGCTGCGGGCCAGGCTCCCGCTGCTCTTGAGGGTGTCCTCCCAGAGTCCCAGGCTGCTGCTGCCCCCACTCTTGTCGGGCCCGCCCCACAGCGGCCCAGCCTCAGATACCCACTGGTTCAGGGGGGCGGCACCCAGGCCCCCGAGCTGCTACAGATGGCAGAAGTCAAGGTGGCCCCAAAAAAGAACACACACACTCAAGAATGCTGAGTGGGAAGGTTCCTTCAGGCGGCAAAGGGGGGCAGGGCGAGGGCTGCACAGAAGAGAGGGCCTCCAGAGTTCCACCTGGACCAGTGCGTGCCCACCCTGGAGTCACCCTGGGAGTGGACTGGAAGGGGTTTCCCAGGGCCCCAGGGTGCTGGTCAGTGGGGACTGGGCCCGGCCTGCTCACCACACGGTGGTTGGGGGCCTGGGCCCGAGATGGCTCCCGAGGCGGGGGCTGCTTGTGCATCTGCCGCTCCCCCTCCAGCTGCAGCTCCAGCAGCGTCTTCATGGACAGTCCCTGCTTGGCCAGGCCGGCCCACAGTGGGGGCGGGGAACTGGGCGCAGGAGGCACAGGGACAGCGGCCACCGCCTGCTGCTGCTGCAGCAGCTTCAGCAGCAGCTCCTGCTGCCGCACCTGAAGCAGAGACGCGGTGAGGCCAGCGGCCGGCCCCTCGCCCCGCCTGGGCGGGCTAAGGGTTCAGCTGGGCCCTGACCTGCTTGCGCCGAAACAGCTCCTCTTCCTCCTGCTGCTGCTGCTGCTGGCGGCGCTTCTCCTCCCGGCGCTTTCGCTCCTCCTCCTCCCGCTTCGCCCTGAGCTCCACTTCTCTGCGTTCCTGGAACTAGAGCCATGGCGATCAGGGGTCATACCTTCCCAGACTGGGCCCAGCCCCCCGACACCCAAGCATTCCAGCCCAGGGCACCCACTCACTTTATGTTGCAGCTGGAGTTGTTCTAGAATTGGACCCTGAGTCGAAGAGTTAATTGGTATGTCCCAAAGACTGGCCTCACCGCCTACAGGGGGTAAAGGCAGCTGCAGGAGAGAGCTCAGATCCCCCGGCTGTAGGGGGCAAGGGGAGGCGCAGACCCCAGCTCCCCACCTACTCAAGACCCGGGGAAGGGACACTGGGACTCAGAACGGGTCAGGGCGGGGAACTGGCTGGCCACACACCTGACTGTGATGAGGCTGAGGTATGTATGTCCCAGAGAGGGCCCGAGTCTGGCACCGACAAAGACCGGTTCATCGTCGGGAGCAGATTCTGGTCCCCACCCCTGAGGAGCAGAGCACTGCCGCTCAGCCTAAAGCCCATATCCCCACCTCCCCCTTCCCACAGCCTGCGGGCTCTCACACGTGCAGCCACGCAAAGACCGCTAAGCAAGAGGTGGAGCAGCCCACAGACCTGGGGGCTTTGAGAGCTTGGAGCTGCTGCAGGAACGCGGCGAGCTGCTGCGGCGGCGGCGGCGGCGGCACATCCCCCAGAGCTGCCTTTTCCCGGAGTGCGCACTGCGGGAGCTGGCGACTGCTGAGATGCAGGCAGGCGTGAGGGGGCAGGCCACAGGACCAGCGCTGGCCCTACTCTCGAGCCCCGCTAGGCCCCCCATACCTGCTGACCAGCTGAAGAAACTGCTGGTGTTGCAGCTGCTGGTACAAGGCGGCTGCCGCCAGCTCTTGCTGCTTCTTCAGCCGCTCCTGGTCCATGTTTCCCTGCGTGAGTGAGAGCATTCCCGCAGCTTTGACCTTGTCTTGCTCTGCACCACCCACTGCCGTCCATGAGGCTCCCGCCTCCCGTCCCTGCTCCACACTAAGGGGCAAATGCTCACCAGCAGTGGGGGTGGTGAGGGCCCTGGGGCAAAGGGCACACGACCCCACATCTTGATCACCTCACCCAGTGGCTGGAAGCCCTCATCACAGCCCCGCTTCACCAGCAGGGCCATGGAGAAGTAGCCTGCCTGGAACCACTCTGCCATCTCTTGGGTCGTGAAGGGGCCTGGATCAAGGGAAGGGGGACCATGGTCAGGAAGGTGCACCAGAGAAGCCCTCGATGAGAATGGTGCTGTCCCTTGACCTCAGCAGCATCCCCAGTGTCCCCCATTCCCCTTGGGCACCTTGGATCTCCCCCTGCGGGTCCTTGTAGAACCACTTCCGGGCTGCGCCGTGGCTGAGGGGGAGGGCAGTGGCAGCTGCAGAGTGGCGCAGGCCCTGGGCCTGTATGGCAGCTGTGAACTGCTCCTCCTCCAGAGAGCTGTCCTGCAGGGAGGCCACGAGCTTCTCCGCCTCCTGGGAGCCCAGGGAGAGAGGGAAGTCTCAACTATCCAATCCCATCAACACTGGGACAGGGCTGGGGCTAAGGTCGGGTGGGGTCAAGAGGTCAGGTCCTGAACACAGCGGGACAGATGGGGAAAAGCTTGGAACCATGGTAAGGACAAAAGGAACCAAGGCTCTCTGTCTCCCAGATACGGGAGGGTCCCTAAAGCTGTCTCAGGCCCCCCCACCTGCTGCAGGTGCTTCAAGCCTTCATCATCTTCCAGATCTCCCGGTGGGCCAGGGGGTGAGCCCACCCCAGGACTCAGCTGCATTCCCCTCATGTCATCTCCTAAACAGAGCGAAGAGAGGACGGTGACATTGGTGGAGTCCAGAGAAGGGGGAGACAGTCCCCTATGCCCCTCATACCATGGAAGTGGGCTCTAACTCTGCCCTCCCCGTGACCTCCAGTGCATTTCCTTTCCCCAGAGAAGGGCAGCATTTCCCCCATGACCCCCAGACACCAGGGAAAGGGCGGCCCCACCCCCTGGCTACCTTCAGCTGCCGGCAGGTCTCTCTCCACAGCGTCATCACCTTCCCCATGAGCTCCCCAGAGTGGGCCCAAGGTAGGCAGTGGGGATGGGGAGCTGGACTTCTCCTCTTGAGGAGGCAGTGGGGTCAGTTCCTTCCCTCCTGAAAGGAAAGGATAATTACTAGAATGCAAAACCAAACAGCTGGAAGGCCTTAAAAATGATTTAGCACAAACCCTCCATTTGTGGCCAGAAGGGCCTCTAGGTATTGAGCCCACCCATGTAACTTTGGTCAAGTCCACTAACACTTGGTGAACTAACACCACACACCCCACCGCACACACTTCCTCTTCTGCCCTGCCAGTAACGGACGTGCCTCCACATCACCATCCAGAGCTGTACCCACCACACCATTGACTTAATGCCGTGTCGTACAGATTCCTCGAGTGATTTTCAAAGGTCATTTTGATCCTGCTTTGATTTTTATCTGACACTCAGCTTTTCAAACACAGCCCTGCTGTTTCCTAGTTCCTCCCCACACCGTGTCAGCACCTGCTTTTCTCCTGTGTGTAAGCAGCCTTCTCCCAAAGGCGGGCAGAAAGCAGCACCCTCGAACCCAGCTCAAGGCCGCAGGCTCACCTGCCTCGGGCCCTTCCTCGTCCAGCCCTTCGGAAGGCTCTTCCTCCTCTTCCTCCAGACCCTGGAAGTCGAGCTCCTGCTCCTCGGGAATGGGCTCCTTGGGGCCCTTCTGCATGGGTTAGGGGATAGGATTGGGAAATGAGGAGCCAAGGATAAACGGGTGGAGTGAGAGGACCCCCTCAGGGCAGGTTCCCACCAACCTCTAAGAAAAATCTCCCCCTCGCCTCCTAGCAAATACCTTGAGAGGCAAGAAGGCCCCGGAGGCATCAAAGGTGCCCATTTCTTCATCCTCATCGTCCAGGCACCACTCTGGGAGCCCATCCTTGTCGTCATCAAAGCCGTCAGCCCCTCGGCACCTCCGGAGGTGAGAGCTGCCTCCCCCACCCCGCCCCTCCTCTTCACCACACCCTCCTCGATCCCCTCGCAAATCAAAGTCAAACTTGCGACGCCGGTCCCCATGTTCCCGCCAGCCAGCAGAGCGGGGGCCGCCATCTGGGCAGGAAAAGGTGGAGAATCGGTATCCTAGTCAAGCCAGATCTGCTCTTCTGCGAACCACCCCAGGCCCCCTCCACTGCCCAGAACCACCAGCATTTCCAGGATGGCTCTCCTACCAGCCCCACTCTGGAACTCTCTGCACCCACCCTCATGGGAGGTTCTCGCCGCCCACCACCCCACGCCCGTCCAGGCCCCAGTCTCACCAGGGCTGGCTGAGCGCCAGCGGTCGCCATCTCGTCGGGGTCCTGCCCCAAGTCTCCAGCTGCCCTCCTCCTCTTCCTCTTGCTCCTCTCGGAGAGAACGCCAGTTCTCGCTATCTGAGCGGGCATGCTCCTTCCTCGGGCCAGCCCCTCCCTCCTCAAACCCGGATCGTGCTTGGGGGTAGGGAAGACACAGTCAGCGGATGGCAGCCGCAGTCCCTGCAAGAATCTTACTATACGCACCTTGTCGGTAAAGAGAAGCCCAGCTCCGGGCCCTCCTGCCCCACCACCTCCCCCAAGAAACATCCCCCAACTGGGGTCACCCATTTCAGTCCTCCCCAACCTCTCAATGACCTCCAGGGCCTGGCCACCACCCTTGCCACTCTCCATACCTCCATCCCTCCTGGCTGACTTCTCAAACCGCCTCTCGCCTCTGCAGGACACAAAAGTGTGGGTCAGAGGACAGTTTCCTCCCCACCTGTGGGATCTCTGCTCACCTTGTCCATTTTGCCCTGGGTTGGGGGTGGGGACTGGGCTTGGGAGGGAGCCAAAGGGGGTTCACAGAATGGAAGGAAAAGGGCAGGGCCACAGGGGGTCAGAGGGCTGGAGAGAGAGCTCCCTGACCAGGGCTTTTTTGGTGGGTCTCCTGGTGCCCTCTGATGATAAAACCCAAGCCTCCCTCCATCAGACCCTGGGCCCTAACCCTGGGGCCTCTATCAGCTCTTTCTGTGCCACCTCCTTCCAGCCTGCACCTGTCATCCCAACTCTGGCTACGCTGGATCTCCCGGGGGTTTCGGCCAAAGGTCCCGTCGCTTTCTTCAATGCTTCTTTGGTAAAAGCAAGTGTCACCACGACCGCGGCCTGGAGAAGGAACAAGGTACACGTGGGAAACCAACCGGATCATCTCTCCAAATCCTCAAGACCACAGGCCCCACCTCTGCCCGCTCTGGAACACGTCATCACCCTGCTCTACCTCGGCTTCGAGTGCTGCCCCTGCCACGGGAGGTGCCACCAAGGGGGGGGGCCGGCCCCCTTCCCCATCAGCCTCAGCACAGCCACACTGTTCACTGACAGGGAGAAGTTTCTCTGAGGAGGGAGCCAGGGGTGGGAGTGAGGACCCAGGCACCCGGCCCCGGCCACCACCACCCCATCCAGAACCACTACCTCCACCACCTGCCCTCCCAACTCCAGCCCCTCTTCCAAGGTGAGGACAGTGCCCAGCACTGCAGCTGCCCGTGTCTGGCTCCACCTGCTCCTCCTCCGTCAGTGGCTCCAGCGCCAGGGGCTGCAGAGGCTCCTCCTGTAGCACCGCGGCGAACTCCTTGTCCTGCAGCTCGTCGGGGACCTGTCAATCAGGCAGGAGGCACCACATGCTCCTGGGACCTCTCCACTGGCTGAGACCAAGTGGGCAACCGGGCAACCGGGCCACACTGCACCCCCTACCTTGCTCTCCTTGACATAGAGAGCCAGCATCTCCTCTCGCCCGTAGCGGTAGTCGGCCAGCTTGTATTTGGGCATGGCGGGGGATGGGGGTGGGGAGGCTACACTGCCACCACTAGAGAGGGCCCTCAGCCTGGAAGAAGGAAACGAAAACACAGGAACCTGAGCAGCCTTATTCTTCCCTGCTTCTCCACACCACCCAAAGCATGTCAGACTCACCACTCGGGCCCAAAGTTGAGGGTCTCTGCTGCCATTGTGGAACTGGGCGTATCTGAGAGGTCAGAGGAGATGTGCAGGGGAGGGGTACCTGGCGTTCACTCTCCAAACACCTGTGGAGGCGTGGGGGACACTGGGCCTTGGAGACAGCACACCCGGAGAAGCCAAGAGGATGGGGAATAGGTCCCCACCTACACAGGCACAGTAATGGGCTCTACGAGGACTCCCCTAAGCCGGCCACGTGCCACTCACACCATGAGTTAACCAGAGTCACGTGGGAAGACCTGGGGAGGGGAGGAAACAGGCAGCTAGAGCCCCTTCCTGCTTCTGCAGGGGACTGCCCTCCCTCCGGCCCAGACTCACCTGGCAGCCTTGCCCAGGGAAGCAGGTAGGGCAAGGGCCGGGCTCTCTCCAGGCAAGGGCCTGTGCTGGAGTGAACGAGGGTCCCCAAACAACTGGACGTTAGTCTAGAGTGGTGCCCAGGGAGGGACCTTCACATCTGGGAAAGATCCTTAACGAGAGATGAAGGGAAGAAAATGGGGTTAAATTAATGGTCAGACAGACCTCCCTGCCTCCAGCCCTCCTCTACCCTGCCTAACAGGAAGACCCACAGCTGCCTAGAGGCTGCTGGTTATAGCACAGGGGACTACGGGCCCTGCTCCTCCTCACCTATGCCCTCCACATATCAGGCCTCATGAGTAGTCAGTCCACTCAGCAAAGCCTGGCTGAGGTGCTGGAGGTGTGGCAGAGAGCGCCAGGCACCTCTCCACAGCTCAGCACCCTCACCAAGTGGCCCAGCATTCAGTAGATATTTAGGACAAAGACAAAACACACACAAACAAGCAAGCAAAAAACTCACTAGGGCCACAAATACTCCAGAGCAAGAAAAGGCTAGTTATGAAGTGGATTAGAAATTGATCTAGAAGCAGAATTACCTCTCCTGAAAAAACTCAGGTTTGGCTGCTTGGTGGCTAGAACCCAGGGACTCGGTTCGGGAAGAAACCCGGTAAAGGGGAGCAAGGGGCCTATGCCAAGGCCAGAGAAGGGGCACACGCTGAAGGCTGCAGGCAGGCAAGTCCAGCCAGTGTGCCCAGGGCCCATTTATCAAACAGGAATCAACACCCAGCCCCTTTCCCTGGGATCAGGGAGAGCTCGATTATAAGTACAAAGAGCCAAAAAAGGGCACAGTGTTACTACGATACAACCTAGGAAGCAGGCTCTCTCACCATAAAGTAGAAACAAGGTCAGTTACTGAGGCTGACACAAGCAGCCGCGGCGGCAGCGACCTGTCCGGCTAAGGAACAGCAGAGGAGGCTCTCAGGAGGTGGCTCATCCCTGGTGGTTCCCAGCAGAGGCTGGTGGGCAGGTTCTCAGGGAGCCGGGTGAGGGCTTCCCTCAGTGGCTGGGGGTGTGGCTGGACCGGGGTTCCTCCACAGTTCCCATCAACTCCAAGGCTCCACAACTCTGGGAAGGAAGGAGGAAGAAGGGTTTCTACCACAAGGGCCAAAGGAAAGAGGCTTTACCCTATAGCTACAGACCAGAAGACAAAGCAAACTCCATGACAGACACAGGACCCACTCCCAGGATCCCAGCATCCTAGTGGAACGCAGCTTCTGAGACCACCTAGAGCAGGGCTGACCTCCCCTGGCACAGGCATCTCTTTTACAGCAGCCCCAGCTGGACACTTCTGGAGACAGAGTGCGCCACGGCACACTCAGCCGTCGGAAGAGACAAGCCTGCTGAAAAGTTCTTTTTTTGCATTCAATTCAAGTAGGCCTCCCAGGACAACAGTTAATTCTTTCTACACTACAACCCTGACATAATCTGGCCAATGAATGAATCTCAAAAACATTAGCTAAGTAAAACACGCCAGTCACAAAAAGAACAAATACTGGATGATTCCTCGTATGTGAGATTCCCAAGGGAGTCAATTTCGGAGAGACAGAGAGAATGGTGTGTCAGGGCTGGGGGACTAGGGGAGTGGGGAGTCATCTAATATGGATAGAGTTTCAGCTTAAATGAGGCAGATGAATAAATTCTGGAGATGGGGTGGACGGTTGCACAACAAAGTGAACATATCTGACATCACAGAACTGTGCCCATAAAAATGGTTAAGATGGTGCATGTCTTATCTTACCACCATTAAATAAAAGGTTTAGGGGAAAAAAAAACGTGGGGATAGCTATCGCATACCTATGTCTTCCCCACTCCAAGAAAAACACCCCAGTTCCTTCAAACAAACTCGGGAGAGGCTGTTCTGAGCCTCCTCTAGTTCACCCCAGAAGAGCCTCATCTTCCGGACCTACGAGACCAAGAGTCCTGTGGGCATGGAAGGCTGCTGTGGGGCGAGGGTACAGGAAGGGGACAACTCACCCTCCCACCCTTCCAGGGAGTGGCACAGAAAGGGTGCTTTCCTCTTCCAGCTGGCGCCTTTCCGTCCTGAGCAGCAAACTGAGGAAGAGTGGCTGGCTCCCGGTGTGAGAAGCAGGGAAACTGCAGAGGCGAGAGAGAGGCAGTCAGGCAAAAGGATGCACAGGAGGAGCTGGTGAGAAAGGTCAAGTGTATGGGTGGGCCCAGCCCCAGGAGGACAGGGTCACAGGAGCTGATGGGTGCCTGGCCCCTCCTCAGACTGCGAGCAGCACACCGCCCGGTTCCAGAGCTCCACACAGGTCTGTGTCTTGTCCATGTGCCTCCTCAAAGCTGGAGGTTCTCAACCCGGGGCAATCCTGCCCCCCAGGGGTTGTGTGGCAACATCTGGAGGCACTTTTGGTGGAGAACTGCTACTGGCATCCAGCGTGCAGAGGCCAGGGATGCTGTTAAACATCCCACAGTGCACAGTATATGGTCTCAGGTTATCAACAGTGGCAGCCGAGAAACCCTCCCACAAACCTCGGGCAGAGGTAACACCTATTGTCTGTTTACGGGGAAGAACTGAAGACAAGAGAAACCAAATTTACTCCAGCTCATTCTCCCCTCTGAAGAGCAAGGAAAGCACCCTCTGATTACACTGTCCCATGAGAGAAACCTGAGTTCCTGCCAGGAGGGAAATCCTCAAGAAAAGAATAGATTAAAAAAAATTGTCTTAAGTTTCTCTACCACAAACTCTCAAAGCCAAGCGAATGGATCCCTTTCCAGTGAAGGAAAGAGCAGGAGGTGGCAGGCAGGGGACTGGGGACAATATCTCTTCCTGGCTACCAGGTCTCAGGGTGTCCAGCTCCCCCCCACCCTTCAGCATCTGTCTGCCTCTCTACCCAGCCCCGTCCGTCCGGCCTTCTCCTCCTCAAGCCACAGTATACCCTCAGTCCCCAGGATTCTGAATTATTGCTATTAAAAGACTGCCCCCTGCCGGAGTCGAAGGGAGAGGACACACACTGGTCCTGGGTGCTCATAACACCCAGGGAGGGAAGCTTGAGGGAACAGGAGGGGAGCGTGTTCTCTGGGGTTCAGAACTCACAGGAGAAGAAAAAGATCCAGAGACTAGACAGTCTCAGTACACACTAAGTTAAGAACATTATTTCCTCATTCCATCACCCCTAAAATTAGCCCTAATCCAGAGCAATGTGCCTTGGCACAAGAAGGCACCACTATTAACAGAAGTGGAGTCCCAAATTCTCCAACATTTGAGCAACCGCCCAGCCCCAAGCCTGGTGGTGGTGACTCCTCCCTTTCTCAGGATGGAAAGAGACTCCATGCGTGGTCTGATGAGAACTCTGAGGCTAAAAAGAGGTACAAGCCCATGTTCTTCCTGGCTGGTCAGCCATCCCAGCTCTGCCCTCTGAGCCATCACGACAACGCCCTGTGGCATGTCTAGTAGTTAACGTTTTCAAAGCACTTTCACACTTTACCTCATTTGATCCCGTCTGCCCACTTGCCCAGTCTTGGGCTCTGGCCAAGAAAAACAAGGAAGGGAGGCTGAAGCTACCCTAATAGGAGCCCGGACGTCCCTGAGACCCTACCCCAGACTGGAGAAAGGGCACACATGCAGCAGGAACCACCCCAAACTCGCAAGCACACTTTGTGAATTTTAAACCACTTTTCATCTCGTTACAAATTTTTTGTTAGAAATTTTAAAAAATCCTTCCCAGAGCCACCTCTTCTGCTCTAAAGTGGGGCTGTTTTTTTCTATCCCAAGCTGCCAACTACAGACGTAAAACCCAGGGCAAACCGGGGTCCTTAAAGCCATCAAACTACACACAATACTGCCACATCCACTGGCCAAAAAAGCCAGGCCATGAGTGTAAGAACACAACTCACTTGACTGTAATCACCAAATGGGACCCTCGAGCCCCCTAGTCCCCAGGTTATGGCAGCAACACAAAGCCCAGATCTGCTTCAACCCTGCCCAATGACATGACAGACCTACCATCTAGGAGGTAAACTGAGGCTGGAATGAGGGCGGGTGGCCTGGGACTGCACAGGAAACAATACAGATGAAGGAGCCACAGAGCAAACTCTCACACTGTGACCAGCCTGTTAGTACTCATGGTGTTTCAGGTGCGAAGCCAAGGGGTGGGGGCCAAACTGCAACCGCACATCAGCTCTCGGGAGGAGGAGAGGTTGTGGAGGCTGATCTTTGGAAAAGCAGCAATGAGAAGAGGGAGTGAGACTGGGGTGGTGGAGGAAAGGGCCCGCCAACAAGTGCTAGTTGAGCATCTCCCAAGGCTGGGCCGTATCTTCAAACCAGACCTGGAAACTTAATACTGGTAATGACTGAGGAAGACGTGCGAGGTGAGGGTCTCTTTAAGGGTTAACGGGGGGGGGGGGCGGTGGAGGGGGAAGCAAAGAATGCGGGGTCGTGGCCAGGGAGGTGCTGCTCAGGGGAGATGGGCTGGGAAGGGTGTTTCATACGGCCGAGGAACCCGGAGGAAGGAGACCCCAATGACCAAGCACTACTGTCGCTCGCTGAAAGGAAACTGAGGCGAAGACCCAGACGAGGTGCTTTGGTTAAGGGGAAAGGCTTCCACGTTAGCCAGTCACGGAACGCTTGGGCTTTAAGACCCGCAGGGCCCAGCTAATTCCGATGAGAACCCGGAGGAACGCTGAGGGAAATCTCCGGGGAGCGCCGGGCATTAGGGTCGGGGGCCCCCGCGCGGAGGACGCGGGAGCGGGGAGGTGGGGAGCCCCCGGCCGGGCTTCTGAGGGGCCGCAGGGCGGCCGTTAGGAGCAAGGCAGTGGGAAGGAGGCGGGCCGGCCG